ATGACAGATTTAAGGTCAACAACAACCAATCAACATCGAGGTGTACACGACAAACTGTGAACCATATATGGAGAAAATTAAACACATCACTTCTACCTGAAATTCGTGACTGTAGTTTTTATACTAAACGAACAAGTAGATAAATTTGTTAAAAGTGTTTATTAAAATTGGCGCTTATATACACTCACTTAACCATTCTTAAAAATCTCCTATTGGACAATATGATTAAATCACAAACAAAATAACACGTTTCAGTTAGTATTTATCTTCAATCATTGTACCAATTATCATTTGTTTTTTTTCTTTCTCTCTTATTATTCAATTATCTTGTCATAATATTTGGCTCACTTCTACTAGGTTGATTATATTTTTGTGACACTTGTAATGATGTTTACCATTATTTGCTATACTGAAATCAACTTTTTTTGGTTAGAGGACTTTTAGCGGGTTAGTTTTCTACGGGATGGACTCGATAACCTCATTTCCAACACTCCTCATTTATCCGGGCGTGAGACCGGTAGTAGCCTCAGAGGGGGGCCAGATGGAGTTGCTTATTAAATAAAAGAAAACTTTTTTCAGATGATTAATTGACCATTTAAACAATGGTTTATTATTTTGATTTCAGTATTACTTACTTACTTACTTAAGTAATATTGGTATCAAAATAATAAACCGTTGTTTAAATGGTCAATTAAATATATGAAGAAAAAAACGTTTTCATTTATTTAATAAGCAATTTATATTACTACATGAATTGTAGATAAGTCTCAAATTACATTTGAGTTTTAACTGGTCTCAAATCATTGTTTCTAAGTAAAATTGAGTTAACCAGATGATATATAGTTTATATTTCTTTTTTTCAATTACATTAATTTAATATAAGATTCTTGTTAATTAATAACATTTTGTTAAATCTATTTTTAACTTATTCATATTTACATAAAGTAATAATTTAATCAAATGTATTGGCAATAGCTATTGTTGATAAATAGGCCAAATAGAATAGTGGGATTATCTTCATCTGTTATTTTAATCAGGACAATTATAGAATAAAACAAAAACAGAACAAAAAGAAATAATGATATCTTGATTAGATATGATTGTACAATCTCTAAGTATTTGATTATAATAATTCTAATGCAATGTGACTGGCTTTTACAACTTGTTCCATACAAATTATTTTTTTTTCTATATTATCTTTGACAGAGCTGTTCAGATAAAAAAATTATTAGAATTCATAGACTATTTAGATAATTATCATGTCGAATTATGTTACCTCTTTTCTAATCTATTACCGATATTAAGAAAGAAATAATTGTCTTTATATTGATCTTTAATGCTTAAATGAATATTTCTTTGTATCTTGTTGAAAAGCTTCAGTAAGTTAGGTGTATATTGGTATTAATGAAATATGATAGAAGTATCATCAGTATATATGAAATTAAATGTAAATTTATCAGAGCTTTCTTTAAACGTGGACGTTTCAGAATCAGTCATGAAAAATATGAATTCTCTATTGTTACTTGACCAATCTGACACAATATGGTGTCATTCCAATTGGATTGAACCTCCTTCAAACCTTCTAAGATGTTATAGTGGAATTTAAAATACCTTCACTCAGAGGGCATAAAGGTGGTCACAACTTAGCTAGCCTGTAGTGTACTTATATATTTAAACGTAGTCTGTTTTTTAAAAGACAAATACATCAGTATTTGACCTAATAAAGCACGAATTACTTAATTATATCACTTTCCAGCTCCTTTTCAGTACACATCCTTATTTTTAACTAATCGAGCCTAAATAGTATTATTTATAACCATCATCAACATATAGGAGCTATTCATTAAAGCTTTTTTTATTATAACATGAAACTTAACAGAAATCCTCACCACAAATCTTTCTAAGGATCAAATGTCGGACCTCCACTTCATTGAAAAAGCACTTAACTATCTAAATGTTTGGATTGAAATCCATTGGTATACGTTCCCAATATATATCAGGTTGCATTATAGCACAACAAGTTTTTCACTACAGACACATCTAATACCTCTGAGTTCAATTCCTGATAAGCCTTTAGGATCACATTTCTAAAATGTTGAATACTAGGCAGAAATAGCTGTCCAGTCTTTAGTTTTCAATGGTCTCCTAACTAAAATTAGTTCATGACCAATACCACCTACACAGTAAAACAGTCTTGGCAGAACTGATACACCTAAAATAATATTAATAGGTGTTTAGTCATTTCACTGCGTCACCACGCAGATTATGCTCTTTTAATTTAGTAATAATTGATGCACTGGAACCTGGTATTTTAAATAATCTACGATGTTTCTTAAAATAATAACACTATCAATACTTTCCACTTCAGAATCTTAAGTGTTGGGAAAGTTTTCATTAGTATATGCAATCATATATATATATACTCCGTTACCTTATATTTTACTGTAGAACTTCAGAATATGTTAAGTAAGATAGTGTAATTATTTAAATCCAGATCAGAAACTTCTAGCTATCATGCTGCTCGAACTAACTGGTAAATTTATCAAGGAGGTATGGGTATCTCCTCAATTTTCAACACGAATCGAATAATTGTACGTTTAGTTAACGTTGAAGAATCAGTGATTCGCCTGATTATTACAATTCATTTTTAAAAAGTTCAACCCATAGTCATTAAACAATGACGTTTTTATATGTTACCGATTGCAAATCTTCAGTTTGTCATCTTTAAAAAAAAAACCAATCACTAGTTTTATAAGTACATTTTACAGGTTAATTTAGTCGTTTAAACACATAGTTAAATGCAATTACCATACCTTTTTAATGTACTTACTACTTTGCCAAGCGTACATCCCTAAACAATTTTACCAGAAAAGAGTTTTATTACAGAAATAATCATACTTTCTTATTTTTAACTTTTTCCCATTTCTTAATTCCAAAAACTTTCTTACCTCTGTATTATAAGATAGACATACATTACACGAATCGATAAACTGGGTATGAGAATTATCCGTCAATGTCATAAATTGTAAACACGTATGGTAATAAAGTTTGCTAATTTCTTTACTTAAAAATAATTTATAACATCTAGAAAATGCCCATAATTTTCTTACAAAATACTAGATATTATAACAGTTTTAGTCATCTAAACAAGGTACCATAGTCATTATTGTTTTTCAGAGACCTTTCCCATTAAGGTAAGCCATAGCTTTTTGGCCGACAATCAGAATTAATATTTTAGACTAAATATAACAACTATCTTAAAGATATCTGTGAAGTCACGTCAGCTGATCATGTTGTTCTTGAAAATTTATTGATGTCCATAATATAGAATGCATGATTATCTCTACATATATATATTCATACATGAGGGAAAGAGCATCAATTTAATTAAAGTAAATAAATTGACTACATAGTTCGGAGGATGAAATGTATATTTTGATGTATAAAAAGCAATAAACTATATAAAATTTATATCATAAATATAAATATGATTCTTTACATAATGATAAACTTAGTTCTTATCTTACGTTAGTAGAACACGTACGGAAAATATCATAGTAATGAATGTACATAGTAATTGGAATTTTTTTAAGGGTAAAAATACTAATGAAATTGGAATTTTCGAATAATTCCATTTCGACTAAATCCTCTTATATTTAAAGTCACAATAATTTTATTAATTCGAACCTCATGAGCTATTAGAATTCTATCGAAATTTCGAACACGCTTCCATAAAGTTCATCAACAAGCTCGAAACCTAAGTCCAGAATCCCATTCTAATTGTCTTTTCTCAATTAACCATATAAGTAAGAAAACAGAATTTTCACTTTATCAAATGACATCAAAAAACAGTAATTAGTAATAGAAAATCATAAGTCTGTTCTATAGAAAATTAGTACACTAACACACTTAAAGATATTTTAAAAAACGAACGCTAAGAAAAAGTAAACGAACGACGTATACACCAAACAATTGCCTTGGCAACCAGTTCATTAATAGAGTAGGTGAAGAATCTTGATGTTATTTAAAATCAAGAAGGACTGTTAAATAATATAAATAGTAGTTATACATTATATACCGGAATTTTCAAATTTCATTATTCGTACTAACGATGAATCAAACTTCAAATGGTTATGTTACGCATTGGTTACATAAATACAAAACACCTGTAATTTATTTAATAAAGCTAGAAAATTACAAAACTAGTCATTCGATTCTAAGTGATAATGTGAACCTATCATGAGTTTCCAATGTCAAGCATAGATTTTACGTTACTTCATATATTATGAATACAGACAAAAAATATTCATCACTTTTATAAACTCCCAAAGAATAATTTTATAAGGAATTTATCAAAGCTTATTTCGAGAACTTCAGAAAAACAAAGTTACGATTATCCTGATATCATTGTCCTAAATAAACGTTCTCCAAATTTTTCATTTAAGAAATTAATGAAATATTAAATTGATCAGTTTCGTATAAGGGACTGATCAATTTCAGTCCTAAAACATCAATGGGAAGATTCAAGTAAAACAATACCAAGTGAATTAAACTTCACCCCGTTGCACAAGCAAGTGGCTATCAAGACTCAGTAGCTAAATGGATAACGCAATGGCGTTTGAAGCGAACAGTACTGAGTTCAAGTCCTAGAGTGAACATCAACTCTGAGACACAGGTGCATTCAGCCGACGAGTCCCAAACAGGGCGAAACGCGCGTCCTGGATTCCACTGCTAGCCATTATCCATCATTGCTTACAAATAGCTTATGAATTAAGGTAATATCGAGGCATACTCACAGTATGCACATATGCCAATAAGAAACTGATCAATTTCAGTTCTAAAACATCAATGGGAAGATTCAAGTAAAACAATACCTAGAGAATACAAATCAATCACTGAAGATTGTCATATTGATTCAGGCTATGAAATACTATAAAATAGTTCTTATTCTTAGATAATATAAATGCATATTAAATAGTATTATATAAACGATAACTTACATGCATATCATAGGTATCATTTCTGATATATCTGTATTTAAATCAAAATATATTTTCATTGTTTCAGGTAATTTAATTTGTACTTGTTCACTAACAATTCCACCAGGAAATGCTATAATCAATGCTAATAATCCAGCTGCAACTAATAAACATTTTACTCGACATGGTACACTAACTGTTGGATCAGTTAAATGTTTACCATTTTGACTTATTCCTACACTACGATTTAAACATATAGCAACAAGTAAAAAATTATTTAATGCAACAATAAAATAAATAAGAAATGCAGAAATTTTACACATAATATTGCCTAATAACCAATTTTTATATACAGCTGTATAAGCTGTATATGGTACACCAAACCATGCTAATGCTAAATCACATAATACACGTATTAATAACATTCGTCTATTAGCTAAAGATTTTGGATTACGTAATTTTTTAATTGTATATATTAATAATAAATTAATGAATGTACCAAATATTAATATGATTATATACAATGATAATAATACTCGTTTATATGGATTTTTTAATAAAGTATTCACATAATGATTAAAAAAATAATAAATTTGTTGCGATGTATTTTTTGTGGAAAAATTAGTTAAATTCCATTCTATAATAAATTGATTATCATTGGATATATTAATATATTGATTAGATATTGAATAAATTGATTGATTATTTTGTATAAATGATTCATTCATATTGTTTATTATTATTATTATTATTATTATTATTATTATTATTATTTTAAAATGTTAATTTCAAATTTAAAAGTTGTATCCAACCGGGACTTGGTGACTAAACAAATTATGCTTTATATTTAAAGTCATATTATTATTATTCTGAGTTTTACTATGATTAGTTACTATGCTACATTGAATAATGTTATACAATGATATCAATGTATAAATCTATTAAATTAAATGATACATTAATTTATAATGAATAAATAAATGAAAACGGATAAAATGAAATGGAATGATAACCAGTTAAATGATAAATGATCATTTGAAAGTTTGTAATAAATATTCAATTGTAATTGGTTAGTAGTAGTATTTATTCTATGCTTTTCTACCAATAATTTCTCTTCAATTTATAATTCATTTGGGAATCAGAATGTTATGGATTGTTATTTAATAAATAAGCGTAATCATTTAGCTTTTATTGTTTTATTTTAGTTGATTGTATTAGTCTCCTTTAATTTATACAGTTTTATCCATAATTCTTTGAGAAACTATTCAATATAAATACAAGATTGTCGGAAAATAATCATTGAATATTTTGAAGAATAAATAAGGTTTAATAATATTAAGGTTAATAATAAAATAGCTAGAAGACATTTGGTAAAAATGAATTCATCAGTTTGTTTCTCCATATTTCTAGACTGACTGGAAATGTATTAACACTTGAAATATTATTATTATTATTATTAATGACTTTATTCAATATTATATTTTGGTACAATATAGAATTCTCAGCACAGGGTATTTCAACAAGTTACTTACGCACAAAAACAATAACAAAGACAAAAAAAGGGAAAAAATGGTTTAGAAATAATCCCGAAAAACTACAACTTTTCAAATCAGAGACATGTTAAGAATGAAGGTTATTGACTAGGTTAACTCTAACAACCTATTCGTCACACGGTATATTTGCTAGGTAAGGTATTATAGAACTTTTATACTTTTGCTTGCGTGCTTGGATTTTAATATGATTCGGTCTCGTTCTACCAGAAGACACAAAGAGAAAGATAAGAATGAAGGGGATGGCTAGTATCTGATAAAATAACACATGCCAGGAGTTTGCATGACTTTAGATATCTATTCACAACCATAATAATTATGAACTCGAAGGATTTACCACACATCTTGCTAACTGCCATCAGCACTCTCCGCAATACAGCAAAGTCTTTCCTCAAAAGCCCGGGAAAGAATAGAGGAGAACAGTAAAGAATAATAGGTAATATGCAAGAATTGACAAATTGTAAGAGTAAATGACGAGTAATTCTAAGAGCATGCAATCTTTTTATGTAGTAAGTCAGACGGAAAACCTTCTTTGATAACAATAAAACGTGGAAAGACCAATACAGATCAGAAGAAAAGGTGATATTAGTTGTTTGTAAAATATTGTAAATAACTGGTAACTTATTCAAATGTTAGTTTTTATATTAGTTTGAGTAGTGTTATATCTTGAAAGTTGATTTCTTCATATATCGGGTATAACAGAGCACTAGAACACTAAAACCCTTCCAAGTCGCAATAAGAAGACAGAAAACTGATGAAAGGAATATTATTCTAAACAGTGTCCATCATAGTACAGAATTGTCAGGTATTTATAGTTTTAAGTGAGAACGAAATCATTATTACAGTCCTCCAATCCTTATACAGGGGGCTATTAGCATTATCCAATCGGGAAGCTACACGTAGGAATTCTAGAATATTCTTCTGAAATGTGATTGAATGGAACATCTTCGGCTCCTTCTGAGCCTCTTACAGCTTCCTCGAGTTCACCCGTGGTCCGTCGTCACACGTAGAATATCTTAAGCAAACGATTTGTTTATAAATGTAAAAACTCAAATTGACAAAAAATAACATTACGTTATCAGTCATAATTAGCAAACAAATATCTATCATTACGAGTCTATTAGTAATGTATTATTGTGAAAATATTGACATCGAATGAGAAGGAGATTCAAAACAAAGCTATACGTAAGTCCATAATTTACTTACTTTTAATACATTCTTATTTAAAACTAAATGATTAAGGTAGAAGTATAAAAGCTATGATCTCTTGAAATCAATTCATCTTATCACTATTTTTGATCTATTTGTTTTTGTTTTTTATATACGTCTCTATCTGTCAAACAAACACTGATATGTGATAGTAATAATAATATTTAAGTTTGAAATCAACAAAACTATGATTAATTAAACGGCTTAGTCAGTAAGTATGACATAAACCGAAAACCATTTTACAAATTAACCACTGACTTTAGTGGGATAGTTAATTAGAATAAAAAAGTACCTTTCGAAACATAATTACTGAACGCTTAAATCTTAAGTGATATGACTGAAAAATTAAACCTTAAGTGATGTTTAGAATACAAGAATTTTTATTTTCATTCCCAGGAATGATAATTTCTTGGTTGTTGTTCTCTTGTTATTGTCATTTCTTACTCACTGATGTTGTCGCTACATGCAACTACAAATAATTAATAACTGAATTCATGAAATGATCTAAGCTAGACTACTACTGAAAACCTGAAAGCACTGAACGGCCGTTTCGTTCTAGTACAGAACTCTTCAGCAGTGCCCATCCACGATCCCGCTCATGAGACTCAAACTCAGCACCTTCGGTCCCGCCCACGAATGATCAACCTCTGTATAACTGATCCGGCATCGGATAGTGGTAATGTTTAATTTCAATCGATTCATGATCTTGCACAGCGCTAAGGAGTCCCATACTGGGACGATGGATATCCTAGAGTACTAGTGAGAAGCCAAAACAAGTGGAGTTCGATCTGTGTTGGGTTGAGAAAGTTATCCGCCTTAGACACTAGATGAAGGGATGCGTTTTGTTTTATCTTGATGTGAACTTTTGCCAGGAACTATTATTTCTCTATAGACTAGGCACACGTTTTTATCAATGGAAAAATCGCAAAAACCTTGATTCAAAGTTGCTTGTCGATTACCTTCAATCACCACATAATGTAACTTTCTTATAATTAGTTCAAAATAACCCTTTTAATCAATATCACTATGATAATACTTGCAAACTAAAAGTTATATTTTTTGCATTGTCAACATTTTTCACAAGTAGCAAACAACATGAATAAATGAACTCTTAGTTCATCAATGTGCTTTACATGCATGAATTTAGAAGTCTATTCGAGACTAAAAAGTAAATGTGAAGTAAAGAAATAATTCGTAACAATTTTTATCACCCTGAAGGGACATTCATAAAAAAAAAGATTAACGTTTTTGAGTATTCTAGAAAAGATTGGACTTCACGAAGATAGGGATAAAATAATCATAATGAGAAATCAGTGTGATAAATGGTTATAATAATGAACGTTTTGTGAAGCAATTTACTTATACACATTAAGAATATCGAGTTGAAATCAAAACAAAGATGAATATGAATTATGGATTTGCAAAGAAATTAGAGATATTTTTATTATGGTGAACTCATTAACCTGATGAAATTGTGAAACTACTGAGGTATCTAAATCGACAATTTATCCATGCAACCGACATTCAAGTTCAAGAGAAATGTAATGGGGAGAAGAAAGTACTGTTCAGCTAACTGGAAATGACTTGGACAATTGACAATGTCGTATGGGTACAAATATTTAACCATCGTAGAAGAATTGACTTAATAATCAACTAGAAAGCAAGGTTAAGCAAGGCTGAGGATTATTACAAGGTGAGTCGTGACGGTTCCTTTTTGCATGTTCTGTGTATTATTTCAAGTGTATTTATTACCAAGGAAGTTCCTAACTGGCAAATACATAAGTAAGGTTACACTCTGCTTTCACAAATCATAATTTCTGTGAAGTTATTTATCAAATAGTTTTCCAAAAACGCCAGTGAAGTAATGGGTAACTAGTAACCCTGTTCGTCGTTCAATAGATTTTTTAATGGATGAAATAAATGAAAATCATTTCAGAGACAATGAATTGCATTAGCGCAAGATCTAGTGCTTCAATGAAAAAAAAACAAAATGATCGAATCAGACTAATGTAACTTGTGAAAATATGATAAACAAGAGGATATACATTCTGAAAGAAATTGGTCATCTTGCAATTATGATGATCATTGACTTGGTGGATATGAGGTGGTCAAGATTGAAAAGGAGATTAAATATGATGTCTTTGATCTAGAGTTTTAGTTGTTTTATCTGCACGCGAATTGGTACTAGCATTTAAAGGATATGCATTATAATTGTATTTAATGGATTCCAAGTGCCTATATACACAATGCTTTGTTTTAAATAGGCAGTCGAAGATTGAGATGTTTACAATCGTAAATGTTACCTTTAAATGTCATCCTGAAAGAAACCATCAGGTACAGAAAAGTGAAAATTCAATAACAATTACTACAAGAAACTTACTACAAATAATCCATTCAATTTCCATTGGAAATCCTATATTTATAAGATATTTTCAATCTTACTATCATACAATGACTGTTCATTTATCCACGTGTCATCAAATTAATACTATACCACTGAAATACGTCAACTTCATTTTCATATACAACAACTTATCAGGAAATCAAATAAGAATCTTGTACAGACTAATAGACTACTAAATAAACAAATACAGTTGTATGATTTACTTAGAACTTAATAAATTTCCACATAAATATTTCGAAATATCACACATCCTTAGAAACTTCTGGTATAAAAACGAAAAATTCGTTGTTTTCAATAGTTTCATTAGTTATTCATCAATTTTATCTTTCTGCAAATCATAATCTCAGTAAGTAGTGAAATTGTTAATACAAAAACACAAAAGTAAGTATGAATATCAGGATTTTTTATCTGTTAAAATGTCACTAATTTCAAAGAACCCTAGTCAATAGTTAAAACAAGGAACGTTATTGCTTAATAATAAATGGAGAATCAACGCTGGCATCACATAAGTATAGAGTCACACTGGTACCCACCAATAAAATATTTACAACAGACAAAGCATAAA